TCATGTGACCTAAATGCACAAGGCACAAAAACAAAGCAACAGACATCAGAGACAAAAGCCTCGGAAATATACCAGAGGAACTCACCAAAACGCCAACTTTCAACTATATCCGCGTTGTGCACCAACGAATCCGGTGTAAATCTCTCTCTTGGTGGAGAATGTCTGTTTTAAAGCAATAGAACAACCGGAGCTAGCACTCACTTTCGCGTCCGGTTTGAACAGCAGCGGTAGCGGTAGCGGTAGCAGAAGCGCATGACAAAGCCCGTGCCGGTGGAGCCCTGATCGTCCAATATATTTCATTAATATGGAGGCGGGGACGAGGAGAGGAAGAGGCGGGGGAGGAGGAGGAGGAAGAGGAGGGAGATTGGGGGTCGTATTCATATTATCAGCCAGATTGACAGTCCTTAACTATAAGGCGCTGAATATAAAAATGTGATTAATACTGAATTACAATAAAATATTTTAACTACAGAAGAACTTATTGGTATCGTATTAAATAAAAAATAAAATGTATCTTTAAGATGTATTTTTTTAGTCTACATGTTGATGTAACATTTACAAATAATAATAATTATGATATAACTAACTTATAAATTAATAAATTATTAGTATTATCATTAAGATTTAGATTTAGTCAACATTTTAATGCATCATTCATAAATAATACTAACAATAAAATTATTTATGAATAATAACAACATTTATTATTATTAAGAATAAATAATTAAGTATTATTTATTAATCCTACAATCCTAAAATGTAGACTTAATCTTGAAAATCTAAATATTAAAAAATAAATAAGTAATAAATTACTATTATTAATATATATATATATATATATATATAAACAACATACAGAACTAACAGTCACCACTGATAAGCTACTACTAAATATATTGTAGAAACATAATTTTCTGTAAAGTTGCTTTGCAACGATTTGTATCGTGAAAATCAATATACAAATAAACATTAATTGAATTGAAAAATTTTTTGAATATTAACCATGCATACATGTATAAAAAACAAAACATTTGAAAACATCGAACAACACTGCACAATTTAAAAAATATATTATTTAGATAAATCTGCAAAAAAAAATCATATTTTACATTCACCCATTCAACACCCCATAATCAGGTCGCCGTGATTTTGCCAAGTAAGACATGTTCCTGGATCAACATAACTGTCCAAAAATATAGACTTAACCCAATCCCTACCCCTAAACCTAACCCTACCCATAATTTATTCCTAAAATCAGATAGCTGATTAACAAGGGTGTAGAAGCACCTAACCCTGATTGTAAGCCTAAAACAGATATTTCCTGAAAAGTTATCCCTCAATTCTGATTGGCTGATAGGAATGTTGTTCCAGGATCAACAAGGATGTTGTTCCAGGAACATGTTGTACCTGGCGAAATCACGCTCACCCCATAATCATCAGTCTCCTGCCATTTCAAAGCTTCTCCCAGGCTTTTAGGGCTGAAGGGGGTAAAAGGCTAATGGCGATCTGATTCAGAGTGCCCGGTTTGAAGCAAGAGAGGCATGAATGATGCTCCTGCTGGAGGTATTTGTGTGCTTTCTCACACACCCGGCGGATATAGTCTTGTACCCACACCTCAGTCTGGTACCAGTTGTAATCCCAAACCTCATTCAGAATTCCCTGCTAAAGCCAAACAAACCTCAAGTCTTTGATATTTCCCAAGAAATTATGCAAATGTACACTCTAAAAAATGCTGGGTAAAATAGGGACAAACCCAGCAATTGGGTTGTTTTGACCCAGCGGTTGGGTTACTACCCAGAAGGTTGGGTTAAACATTTAACCCAACCGCTGGGTCAAAACAA